ACAAACACATGTACACACACACACACACACACACACACACACACACACACACACACGGAAAGAGGACTAAGGGCAGTATTTACTTGACTAGCATGCATGTACCCTAGGTTCACTCACCAGACCCCATGCCCCCAAACAGATTTGGCTCTGGCTTTCCAAAGTAGCAAACTTAGAACCTCTTGGGAAAACGTTTCCCAAGATGCAACCATCTCCACCAGATCACCAGTTGTCTCTGCTCAGGTGGATGTGGGTTGACCTCACTAACAACTATGTAAGATGTCAAATGGAGACTAAGGGACGGGTCACTGAAATACCTTGAGTCTCTCCCCACCTCATCCTCATCTCACCTGGGCTACGCCTATGTAGAGTCAAAGATCAAAGGTCAAGTGATAACTCTTCTCTGATGACTGTTTCCTGAGAGTTGCACCTCAGGCTTAGTACCAGGACACCCCTTTGATAGCTGTGTACCCCTAATTTTCACCATTCCTTCAGTAACCATAGAGAGAAGGGACAGAGAGAGAATGGACCTAGCCATTGCTCTGACCTCTGGACCGGTCAATGCCAGAGAGGAATCTCCTTCTAGGACACACCTGGGCCACTGTCATCCCTGGAGACACCAAGCTCTGCCTCTTCATGAAAGTGGCTTCTGTTTGCAGAGTCAGGGCTCGTCTGCTTTGGAAGACAATTGTGCTTGAAAGTGAAGTTAGATTGGTCCCAGGAGTGAACAAACAACCCTGACCCCCAACAATGGACAAGGACAGAGGTAGAGCTCACCCATAGTTGAGAAATGGAGATGTTGGAACTTCCTCATGTAGGCCCATAAGGCCCTTTCGTTTTGTGTACCAAGACAAACGTTTAGAAGCACTGATCCCAGACTATCAGGAGATTTTGGGGTTCCAGTTAGATGCCTTGGCTGCCCTTGAAGACACTCAGGACTCTCCCATCAATGTTAAGGCCCTGAGAAGTGAGACCTTGGGTGTGGTGATATTGTGTTCCCCAAAATATTGTATACCCTAATAAACTTATCTGGGGTCAGAGAACAGAACAGCCACTAGATATAGAGGCCAGAAAATGGTGGCATACATGCCTTTAATCCTATCACTTGGGAGGCAGAGATCCATCTGGATCTCTGTGAGTTCAAGGCCACACTGCAAACAGCCAGGCATGGTGACACACGCCTTTAATCCCAGGAAGTGATGACAGAAGCAGAAAGGTATTTGAGGCGTGAGGACCAGGAACTAGAGCTGGTTAAGCTTTAGGCTTTCCTCAGTTCTCAGTTCAGCTGAGATCAATTCGGATATGAGGACACAGAGGCTTCTAGTCTGAGGAAACAGGATCAGCTGAGGAACTGATGAGGTGAGGTAGCTGTGGCTTGTTCTGCTTCTCTGATCTTCCAGCTTTAACCCAATACCTGGCTCCAGGTTTGTTTTTATGATATAAGACCATTTGAGATTCATGCTACGCTTGGGCATTGCTTAATTGAATGGATAATTCCCTTTAGGGATGCCTGGATCCCTCTATACAGGCTGGGAAATAGAAAACAGCTAAAGGATCTTGGAATCATGAAAAAGGAAGAAGTCTAACATCCAGCCCCTACACGAAGCATTCTAGCTACTCTCTCCTATCTATCCCAAACTCGAAAGGTAGCACCATTGTGAGGGCCTGGGAACAGAGCTGTAGCAATATTTCTATCTCTGGCTCAGGTTCTGTGAAAGGGCCAAATGCCTCACCCATGAAGCCCAAGCGTTCCTGGTGACTCCCAACGTGGACCAGGAAGCAGCTTCAAGTGGGTTCTTTGTTAAGAGCCAGGCATGGTGGTGCATGCCTTTGATCCCAGCCTCCAGGGCTATGCAGAGAGATACCTTTAAAAAAAAAAAAGTTTAGGAAATCATTTTGACTGTTCATCTGAGATCTCAGATTCCTAGGGTTAATTTTGACCTGTGTCCTGCGTGCTGCAGTAGGAGGTAACCATCCTCTGTTGCCTAGGGAACATAGAAAGACCAAGTTTGCAGTCTCCCCGGCCACAGGATGGGGATTCTCGGCAATGTTAAGTCTGAAAGTGGGACTTTGTGCCACTGAAGTGCATTGCCTGAGCCAGACCTTGGTACTCTGTTTGTGCACACATACCTGGGCAAGTATACTCAGGCCCACATTGATGTACTATGACTTACAGACCGGCCACCTAGGCTTCTGGGTATCACTTGTACCCACATGTATATACCAGCCTTTCATGCAGTGTGCCAGGAGTAGGCTCCACTCTCACGAAGAGAAGAGGGCCTACTGTCCTTCCAGGAGATACGTTTGTGGGGAAACAGGACTATCCTGAGACACTCCCTATCAGGCATGCTCCTTTTTGACCTTCTGATCAGTTGCCAGAGAAAGAAGCAGGCCCTGGGGTGCTGAATGGCCTAGCCCTTGCCAGGAGTCCCCCTGATGTCCTGTCCTATAACCCAGGTCATTTTAGAGAAATGTTAAACAGCCCCTAGTCCAATCCTAACTGGGCACCTGTGACTCTTAGTCTCCCATACTGGGTCAGATGGGTTGGACTTGTCTTTGTGGCCACCACCTCCAGGCAGCCCTCCTTGGTACTCAACCTGCTCCGCCCCCAGACTTGGGGGGGGAAGTGCTAGAGGTCAAGGGTCACCGGGCGGGGCAGGTCCCGGAAGCGGAAGCGCGGTGCACTTCCGGCGCGCAGCGGGCGGCCATGTTGGAGCGGCGGAGGCGGCGCAGAGGTGCGTCCTGGGTCCCCGCGGCGGCGCCGGTAGGTTGTAGCCGCGGGTCTAACGGTGCTGCGAAGTGGCGGCCCGTGAGGCCGCGGGCGGCAGGGCGAAGGGACGGGGTGGCCGACCCTCCCGGATCCTCATTCTCCCCGGGCTTGGCCGAGACACCCCACCCCCACCCAGGACCCCACCCTGGGGCTGTGCGGATGCCGTCGGGCGACCGCTGTCCGCCTTCCAACACTTGGCCGTCGCCGTGACCCCGACTCCCTGCCGCCGTTCGGGCCCCGGGGACGCGGTCTCCCAGCCTGAGGGCCCCGATCTGCCCCCGACCCCAGGCTGCCTGATGAGCACGCCTCCCACCCCCAGCCTTCGGCCGACTTCCTCTGCTGGCTGGCCCCGCAGGAGCTGTGCAGGCAGGCGTGCCTGGCTGCAGCGCCCCTTTACGAAGCTGCTTGAAAGCCACGAAGCACCCTCCCAAGGGTTCAGCCTGACCTAGGCCCCCGCCCCCCAGGGTCAGCGCTTGAGGTTTGGGGTGGGAAGTAGGTCCCTCTCTGTTACACAGTTCACAGCCTACCCCTTCAAACAACAAATAAAAGTACTAAAGTCATGCGCAAGGATTGTGCTTGGAGAGCATCCCCTGGGGGAGGGGAAGTGCCTCAGACACCTGAGGATCCAAGAATGTTTCCAAACAAAGAGCCCCAGGGCACTTTCTCCGGGGAAATCTCAAGACTGTATATCTGCTCCATTAGAGCTGAGCAGAGCGGCAGCACAGACGGACCTCGAGGCCCCAGGGATCTGTCTCATCCCAGCTGATCTTTTAATGCTCCAGTGCACTGGGGAGTTTCCCTCTAGAAGCCCTCACATGCTTCGAGGGATGCTCGATGTAACTCATGATTGACGGGCATCATTTCTTTAAGGGAGTGTGGGGCAATTTGAGGGCTCCCAGACACCTGCATCTGTGCTATTCTGAGATCTGCTACCTTAAGTCCAGCTCAGACCTTTAATGGCCGCTTGACATACCTTCTTAGATGGAACTTTTTCTTCCAGCGTCTCCAAACCTTGGACTCCTTGGTCTAGCTGTCTGTCTGGCCCCCTGCTTTGCCTTAGAGATGTCGCTTGTTATTCAGCACCTTTTTTTTTTGTTGTTGTTGAGAATCTGGCTCTTTCACTGGGGTTGAACTTCAAGACTAGAGTGAGAAATTGGGTTTGGGAGTAGCCTGTCCACAGACCCTGAAAGGAGAGTCTCTAGTAGGCAGGGAGATCAACCACCCCCTGCACTGGAGCACTGGCAGCTGGATGAACATGCCGGGGTGGACATCGAGTGTAAGTCTGGGCCTATGTTCGAAGCCCTCGATCTGTTTTTTTCAGGTAGACCCCCGCCATCCCACATGTCTTCCTTACCCTTTCTTCACAGCCACTTGATAAGCTGTTACCTTTTTTGCTCCATTTGTGCCTGCTGTTCTTGTTTTTGTCATTCACCTAGAGTTACTGATCCCAGGAGCCCTTCCCTAACCATACTTGTTAGTAAGTATGACCGCTAACACCGTGTACTCCCAGGAAACTTAATGGTGGCTGTGTCTTGAATCAGGACTGGGCTCTGTGAGGGTAGAGAGATTTTCCTGTATCCTGGGACTGGTCTAGATATTTGGCATTGCGGGGGAAGGTGGGGGGGGGGCGGCGGTGCAGACAGCAGCAGAGTAGTGCAAGCATGTGGTCCTCGCTGCTCAGGAACCCGAGTGGGAGGATCACTTCCACCAACCAGTTCAAGACCAGCCTGGCAACATATCAAGCTCCATTTCAGAGTCTAGAAAAACTGCAGAATTTAGCCGAGCTCTTGACACACACTTGTAATCCTAGCACTTGGGAGGCTGCCGCAGAACTGCCAGTTTGAGGCCAGTTTGGACTATATGGCAAGCTCCAGAACAGCCAGAGCTACATAGTGAGACCTTATGTCCCCAACAACAGAGTATGGTAGTGCTTGCCTGTAATCCCAGCACTTGAAAGCGAGTGGCAGAGGGATCAGGGTTCAAGGGCAGGCTAGCCTATGTGAGACCTTGTCTTAAAGCAAGAAAAGAAAAATACCATTGAATTAAAATGAGCCAGATTTAAATCTTCCCAGAAGCCCAGCAGTAGGGTCGATGGCTCTTAGGTGCTTCTGAGCATGTATCCTTAAGAAACACACCAACACAGAGGGTCAAGTGACCCTAGAGAATGATTTATCCCGGCCAGGCCCTTCTGTCATAGAGTGGGAGCCTTGCTTCACTTGCCAACCTGTTCTAGCTCCATACCTTGGTACCATTCTTTTGTTTTTGTTTTTCGAGACAGGGTTTCTCTGTATAGTTTTGCGCCTTTCCTAGAACTCACTCTGTAGCCCAGGCTGGCCTCGAACTCACAGAGATCTGCCTGGCTCTGCCTCCCGAGTGCTGGGATTAAAGGCGTGTGCCACCACTGCCCGGCTCCTTGGTACCATTCTTATCGATTCTTTTCTTTTTGCTTTGGAGGTGCCAAGTACTGGTTTGCGGATCCGCAGGCAGATCCGCAGTGCCTGATGCCATGAGCATGGTAGTGCAGCATGTGGAGGAGAAAGCTGTGCACTCCTGGTCACGCATCTCCACAGCAGGGAAGAAAGCCCTGGAAGAGGCGCTGCTGGTGTTTAACCCCATGAGCCAGGATCTCAGTGCCACAGAGGCCCAGCTTGTGGCCTTCCTCCAGGGCCTGCGAGAGGATGGCTTCCAGCCGACCATTCTGCGAAGTGGTGATGTCTATGGCTATAGCTCGTGCACAGCCAGCCCCCCCAGCCAGACAAAGCAACAAGCTCGCTCCACCAACCTATCCGCCGCATCACTTCCGGCCAGGGCTCCCCAAACTGCTGTGTCCTTGCCTGTGAGAAAGGACACACTGCTCCCTGTTCCACTGTCTGGCAGGCTGGCCAAGGGGTCCACACCAGCCCTTGCCAAGCATGCGACCACTAACCTGCTGCTGAGCTCCCTGAAGGAGTCAAATGCCAGCCACAGCAGCGGCACAACAGTAGGCTTCCCTGCCCACCTCTATCCGGGGGTCTACCCTGCCATGCAGCTCTCTGTGGTCCTGGAAGCACTGGTCCCACTCAAGACTCCTTGCTTGGGTGCTAAGCACGGGCCGCAGTCACTGCAGCTGACCCTTGCAAACTCTTCCCTGAAACTGAGGAAAGGTTCCGGGAGCCCGCAGTCCAAAGCATCCAGAAAAATCTCAAGCAAGGGCCCCAAATGCCTGAGTAGGAAAGGTCCCGGGGCTGACCGACGAGGTGCTGGGACCCAGAGCAGTGGCATACGCGTGAAAGGGTCTTCCTCTTTGGGCACCAAAACAGTCCAGACCAAGGCATCTCGAACACAGACCAAAGCTGCTCATGCAACCCAGAACAAGACAGTGAGGGTGAGGGCCAAGGCGACAAAGGCCAAGCCCAGGGCAGCCGGAGCCAAAGCCAAGGCCACTGTAGTGAGGGACAAGGCTAAAGCCAAGGCAGTCAAGGCCAAGGCCAAGGCGTCTCGGACCAAGCACAAGGGAAGGCCAAAGGAATCTGTCAAGACCAGACCTGGAAGGACAAGCCTGAAGAGTCGCTCTGAGGCTGTGGGGAAGAAGAGGAAGAAGGCTGAGGAGGCAAAGGGCCTTCCTCCTAAGAAGAGAGCTCGCCTTGTGCTCCGATCCCCTAAGGCATGGCTGGGGCCTGGGACAAAGCCGTGCAAGTCCCAGACTATAAAGGTGGACAGGAAATCTTCCGATGATGAGGTCCGACAGTGGGCCCAGCAGATCCTCCGTGTCAACCTCTCTCCGGTAGTGTGGCTCCAGCCACTGCTACCGTCTTGACTCCGCACTCGGCATCCCGAGTCGTCCTTGCATCACGGCTTGGGCAAACAGCTGAGCTCTCCGTGTGACCAGCAGCAGTGTGCCGTGCTCGTGGGCGCTGCAGCTTTCCGGACTCTGGGTACCTCCAGGTACCTCAGGACTCTGGGTCACCAACCTCCTTTCAGAAACTGAGGATTTGGGGTGGGTGGGGAGCGGGAGGGTGTCCTCATGGCTCAGTGCACTGTGACTTGTTCTTTAAGTTGTACGTCTGATGTTCCATCTATCATGTTTTATACCTTTCCACCTTGCAGTCTCCCTGCTCGCCCTCCATGGTCTTATTTATTGAATGATTTTGGTGTGTGGGGGCTGCTGGCAGGAGCCTGCTAGGAGTAGCCCTGGTGGCTTGAAGCAGGCCATCAATGTGAATGATAGGGTGATGTTATGGAAGGGCAAAGCTCCCAGGCTTCTGAAGAGATGTGGGGAAATTCTGGCTTCTGTAGATGTGTGAGAGAGATCCTGAGGGATGGGCAGAGCCGCTATAAAGTAGGACACCTCACCTCGAGTGTCCCAGTTCTGAACCAGAGGGACCCCATTCAAGATTGTGAGTCACTCTGGGAAATCCTGCAGCTCACAGGTTTTTAGGCCAGGGAAAGAAGCCTTTGTGGTACTGCTCTCTCGGGGCCAAGCTTTAAGGCTTTGCCTGGGCTTGTCTAGTGGGAGGGAACAGGCTTAAGAGGCTTGAAGTGCTGCCTCTCTGCTGAAAGTGACCAGCCTCGATTTTCCCGAGAGGCTGGGCTTTGGATCTGGACGACAAAACCAGCCCTTACTGTCCAAAGAATGTTCTCTCTGGTAACTAGTGGTGGGTCTAGGGAGACTTCTACCGGTACTCAGCAGTGCTTTCTGACTGGGCTCCACATGCTCCATCTGACTCAGGGGTCCAGCCTCACTGTGTCTCCTCACATGACCTGTGTGCTTTGGACATTGTTGGTACCTTCTGCTTTGGAGAAGAGCTGGGTCCTGAGTGGAAGCAGCTGCTGTGCCCATCTGTAGTTCACCGGTGGCCACTCAGGCTGCAAGGTAGTAGTGGGTGGCTAGGAGGTAGGGGACCTGCAGCCCCTACACCTGGGAATTTGAGTGTGAGTTTGAGGTCAGCATCAACTACATACTGAGGAAACACCACCACCGCCGCCACCCTCTCTCTCTATCTCTTTGTTTTTGTTTTTTGAGATAGGCTTTCTCTGTATAGCCCTGGCTGTCCTAGAACTAACTCCTTTTGTAGATCATTATCATGCTGGCCTCAAACTCAGAGGTCCACCTGCTGGGAATAAAGGTGTGTGCCACCAGACCAAGCCAGGGGACTAGAGGAGAGATGAGATGGCTTGCTGGTTAAGAGGATTTAATTGCTCTGCCAGAGGACCCAAGTTTGGTTCCCACAAGGCAGCTCACAAACACTTGTGTCCAGCTTCCGGGGATCCCACACTTTTCTTGCTTTCACAGTCACAGGCAGAAAGACACAACTTTTTATTTATTTTTTAATGGCACAAATGGATAAAGCGTCAGTTCTTTGGGAAAAGGCTATCTTGGGAATTTTGAGCTTTAGTGATGTTGATAAGCAAAGGAATGGTGTGAAACCCCTTAAATAAAAACTCACTGGCTGGGCTGGAGAGATGCCTCAGAGGTTAAGAGCACTGGTTGCTCTTTCATAAAATCCAGGTTCAGTTCCCAGGGCCTACCTGGCAGCTCACAGCTGTCTTAATTCCAGTTCCAGGGGACCTGACACCCTCCTCTGGTTTCACTGGGCACTAGGCAGACACATAGTGCAGACATGCACGCAGGTGAAACACTTATACACATAGAAATAAGCAAGAAAAGAAATGTATTGTCTTTACAACAAGAATGATGTTGATAACAGATCAAGCCAGGGCCGGGAGATGGCGTAGTAGGTGAAGTGCTTTCTGAGGACATGAGTCCAGAGCCCTAGAACTCCAGTAAAAGCCGGATGTGTGCCTAAACACCGACAGTGAGTCGGGGCAGAGCCAGCCAGTGTGGCCAAAATGACAAAATCTAGAGTCAATGAAAGACCAGATCTCAAAAAATAAGATGGAGGCCGGGCAGTGGTGGCGCACGCCTTTAATCCTAGTGCTTGGGAGGCAGAGGCAGGCAGAGCTCTGTGAGTTTGAGGCCAGCCTGGGCTACAGAGTGAGATCCTGGAAAGGCACCAGAACTACACAGAGAAACCCTGTCTTGGGGGGAAAAAAGGTGGAGGCTAAAGAGGCGGCTCAGAGGTTAAGAGTGTGTACTGTTCTCACACACAGCTCCAGGGCCAACCTGGTCTACTTAGCCAGTTCCAGGATAGTCAGGGCTATGTAGAGGGACTGTTGAAAGAAGTCTCTGTCTTGAAGATGGGGTCTTACTATAGCTTTGAGGGAACTGGCACTTGCTAAGTAGACCAGATTAGTCTTGAACTCCTAGAGATCACCTGCCTCAGCCTCCTGAGTGCTGGGATTAAAGGCATGCACCACCATGCCCAAAATAATTTTTTTGTTTGTTTTTTGAGACAGTGTTTTTCTGTGTAGCCATGTCTGTCCTGGAAATCACTCTGTAGACCAGGCTGGCCTTGAACTCAGTGATCTGTCTCCTGAGTGCTAGGATTAAAGGCATGCACCACATAAAATAATAAACATAAGATTGGGAACTAGAGAGATGGCTCAGTTAAGAGCACTGGTTGTTAAGGACCAGAGTTAGGTTCCCAGCATCCATAGGGGTAGCTCACAACCACCTGTGACTCCAGTTTGAGTGAATTTTTGTCCTCTTCTGGCCTCCAAGGGCACTGCATGGGCATGGTATACAGCCATACATGCAGGCAAAATAAAAATATATAAATCTTCCAGGACAGGCTCCAAAGCTACACGGAGAAACCCTGTCTTGAAACACACACACACACACACACACACACACACACACACGACCAAGCCAGAAAGAAGGGAGGAGGGAGAAAGAGGGCATCCCAAGTCACATGTATTGATGCATGCATGTAATCCCAGAACTAGGGAGGCTGAAGCAAGAGAATCTCAAGTTTGAAACCAGCCTGGGCTACACAAGACTCTTAGAAAAGAGAAACTGTAAAAGGGTTGGGGGTGGGAGGGAGGGAAGGCATCCTTTGGGACCAAGTGATCATAATACCCTTACCTGCCTTTCCACACACCAAGTGGAGTGATGGTTCTACCCAGATCCTTCTGCTTTGAGCCAGGAACAAGCCACTCAAGACATTGATGGTTTAGAGAATAAAGGGAGTACAGTGGCCTATGCAGACCCCCATCTTTCTGGATTCTGTGAAGTTCTTGGTGCTCTACCCTACCTCTGGTGGAAACAAATTATGGTAGGACAGGATTTATGCAGTGAAGCTGTCAGCTATTCAGGAGATCACAGATCTAGAACTGTACCAAGAGGATTGACACCTAGCAGTGGAGAATAGGAAGAATAGTATATGGAAAAGGTGAAAAGTGAGACTAGGGTAGGACTGGAGTTTACAAGACCAGAAGACATGAACCATGGAAAAGATTTGAGCAGGAAAGTGGGTTGTTTGGAAGGAAAGCCTAATGGAGGCTGCTTAAATGGTTCTGAGTGAGAGTTGGCATTGTCTGGAATAAACTTGGACCTTTGGGGAGGGAGCAGGTAAAGATTCAGAAGGTATTAGGAAACAGAAAGGGGGCACGAGTGAGCTGTGAGGGCCCAGGTGAGGAGGGGTGGCAGGTGTGGGTGAGTGAGGGTGGCCTTACTGATCCCACCAACGCTGTCTGCCCTCCTGCTAAGTGATGCTCCTGTCGCTGATAAAGGTGTCACCTGAGCTGAAGTCTTAGATGCTGGGGCCACACAACACATTTGCAGGAGTTCCAGCAGACTTCCTGGAAACAATGAAGAAAGGCTTACCCCAACACTGGCTGAGACTCAATCCCGGGGGCCACCCATATGGTTCAGTGACCACTAAGTGTGTCTTGAGTGGACTGTGCCCCCACTGTCCCCAAAACATTGATCAATACCTACGACCACCATGCCTGGAATGGATGCTTTTTGAAATAGTATCTGCTGTGATAAGTTTCTAGGGCCGGTAGGTTTGAGGTTGAGGGCCAACCATCTCCTTTATCTGAATGACTTAATTTTCCTATCACTCTGCCCAGGGTGACACACTGTATTGTGTAGCAATTTTCACTGAGATAAAATCATCCATTTTGGAGGGAAGCTCCCTAAGACACTGGATGTTCTAAACTTTAGAATCTAAAGGGAGGCAGAAACATTCCATTCTTCAGGGAGGCTGCTTAAGACACAGGATGTTCTAAGGGGAAGTGAAACATTCCATCCTTCAGGGAGGCTCCACAAAATACAAGGTATTCTGCCGGGTGGTGGTGGCACATGCTGTTAATCCCAGCAGAGGCAAGTGGATCTCTGAGTTTGAGGCCAGCCTGGTCTACAGAGTGAGTTCCAGGACAGCCAGAGCTGTTACACCCAGAAACCTTGTCTCGAAAACACAAAAAAGATACAAGGTATTCTAAGGGAAAGGGCAACATTCCATTCTGCAGGGAAGCTCATTAAGCTCAGGAATTCAGGATGTCCATAAGCTTCACTAGGCCCCTCCCTTCCTATATAAGTAGTAAAGAAGCTTAGAGACATTCCCGGACAAGTTAAGCTGACCACCTAGGCTCACACTAGCTAGGCTGTCTGGAAGAAATAGATCTGCCACGCCACCTAGAAGTAGCAGAGTTAAGAAAGCTGCCTGAAGAGGTTAGACGGCCGATTCTCTGACCTGCTGTGCAGCATGCAGGCTGTGCATAGTGCTCCAGGTTTCCAGCTTTCATGGTCTGTCACCGAGGCTGGTGATACAGTTGTCTTTGGGTCATTTCTGCTCCTGTAAGTAACCCCAATAAAACTCATTGGTTCTCCAAGTTGGACTTTGGTGGTATCCGTACTTTGTTCTGTCCTTGGTTCCTTGTCTAGAGTGAGTAGACTTTTGCTAACATATCCCTGTTCTGGTGGAAACTTCACCTTAGCCCCTGACACCCATATACCCAAAGAGTCTGGAATGTTCTGGTGGAAGTTCCACCTCAATTCCCCTGCCCCATCTCTTCCCAAACCCTGCCCACCATTGTTCCTGCCCTAGAGTTGCTCAAGACCACTCCCACAGGGTATTTAAACTGCACCCCAGAAAACAGACATGTGGTTTTTCAGTCTCTCTTTCCCGTTTCCTGGGGGGGGAGGGGGAATCATCCAGGAGTGCTTTACCCATTAAACTGGGGCTTTTTCTAATACTGTCTGATTTGGTCTGATTTTGATTGCTGCGGCAGCAGAGGAACTGATCAGGGTGCAGAAACTTTTCAATCCCCAGGAATAGTGTCACACAGAACACTGATAGATTACTTAAAGGCAACTTCCTAGAATGCTATGGGGCTGCTCTTGGAAGATAACAAGTCACATGTTTTCAGTTCTATAAACAAGGTTGGTTGCCCCAACTGCACAGGACATGCTGGATCACATGTAGTGGGAGGTACATAGGCAGGAAGTACGTCAAGATGTGTGCTTGCCTCTGATTGAACAAAGGCAGAAGTATGTAGCCTTGTGGGTTTTGCTTTTATAAGCACCTGTAGTCAGAGGTTTTTCTGAACCCAGCCCCATGGTCCCACAGCTGCTTATAAAACAATCATTCAGAAGCTTAATATTAATTACCAATTGTATGGCCGTGGCCTATGGCTCAAGCTTCTTGCTAGCTAGCTCTCATAACTAAACTCAGCCCATTTCTACTAATCTATATGTCACCATGTGTTCCATGGCTTTACCTGTGTGCCATGCCTGCTCTCCCTGGACGGCAGGATGGCATCTCTGGTTCTTTCTTCTTCCTGTCTCTTTCTCCAATTTACCACCTAACTATAACCTGACTTGCCATAGGCCAAACACCTTTATTTATCAACCAGTCAGAGCAACACATATTCACGGTATATAGAAAGCTATCCCACAGCAAACACGTGACTAACATAATTCATGGCCATTTTCTAGGAATCCCAGGTATGGACCTGACCATTGTCCATTGTCCTGGTCAGTATTTAATAAAGTTTGCTTCACATTTGGCTAAAAAAAAAAATTGTGATAGTGGTCTTCTTCTCAGCCAATGGGAATAAGACAGGCTTGGTCTGACCTTCAACGGAACAGTATTTATTCATGCAAGGGAGCATTTTGTCACCCACATGTACACATGGACAAAATGCCTACTAAGGAAGATGGGATGTGGCCCCTCATGGGAATGACTTCTGTAATCTGTAAGGAACACTGGGAAGTGTAGTCTTTCAGCAAGAAACTCTCAAACACTGTCATACCAAGGGTGCTACCCACCTGTGCTATTTATAGCTCTGTGAGGGGGCAGTGCGTGTGTAGGCGAGACTGTGACTGTTGCTTCCCTAGCTAGTGGAGCCTCCTGTACTTACCAGTGTCTGCCAGTCATAGCGGGAAGGAGGAGGGCACTATGGGTTAGCACTGTGAAAGGTGAACACTTCCAGACAATTTAGTATGCCCCTGCCTTTAGATGCTTGTGTAGTTACTATGGAGACCCCATCCTGGGCTTGGACCAGCAGTGGCAGCCCTTCCTCCGACTTGAGCACCTTGACTCTGGCCCCTGCTGTAGGAGTTCTTGT